TCCACCAGTCACACAGCTGGCAGCACCACCACCACCTCCACCAGTCACACAGCTGGCAGCAGCACCACCACCACCTCCACCACCACACAGCTGGCAGCACCACCACCACCACCTCCACCAGTCACACAGCTGGCAGCACCACCACACCACCACCACCTCTGAAGCACCACCACCACCAGACACACAGCTGGCAGCAGCAGCAGCACCACCACCACCAGACACACAGCTGGCAGCAGCACCACCACCACCACCTCCACCACCACCAGACACACAGCTGGCAGCACCACCACCACCACCAGACACACAGCTGGCAGCAGCACCACCACCACCACCAGACACACAGCTGGCAGCAGCAGCAGCACCACCACCTCCACCACACACCAGACACACAGCTGGCAGCAGCACCAGCAGCACCACCACCACACACCACCACCACCAGACACACAGCTGGCAGCAGCAGCACCACCACCACCACCAGACACACAGCTGGCAGCACCACCACCACCTCCACCAGACACACAGCTGGCAGCAGCAGCACCACCACTACCACCACCACCACCAGACACACAGCTGGCAGCAGCACCACCACCACCACCACCTCCACCTCCACCAGACACACAGCTGGCAGCAGCAGCAGCACCACCACCACCACCACTACCACCTCCACCAGACACACAGCTGGCAGCAGCAGCAGCACCACCACCACCACCACCACCACCACCACCACCACCACAACCACCACCACCACCACCTCCACCTCCACCAGACACACAGCTGGCAGCAGCAGCACCACCACTACCACCACCTCCACCAGACACACAGCTGGCAGCAGCAGCACCACCACCACCTCCTCCACCTCCACCAGACACACAGCTGGCAGCAGCAGCACCACCACCACCACCACCTCCACCAGACACACAGCTGGCAGCAGCAGCACCACCACCACCACCACCTCCTCCACCACCACCACCAGACACACAGCTGGCAGCAGCAGCACCACCACCACCACCACCTCCACCACCACCAGACACACAGCTGGCAGCAGCAGCACCACCACCACCACCACCACCACCACCACCACCACCACCTCCACCACCACCTCCACCAGACACACAGCTGGCAGCACCACCACCACCTCCTCCACCACCTCCACCAGTCACACAGCTGGCAGCAGCAGCACCACCACCACCACCACCACCTCCACCTCCACCTCCACCAGACACACAGCTGGCAGCAGCAGCACCACCACCACCACCACCTCCTCCACCACACCAGACACACAGCTGGCAGCAGCAGCACCACCACCACCACCACCACCACCACCACCAGGGTGCACCACCACCACCACCACCACCACCTCCACCAGACACACAGCTGGCAGCAGCAGCAGCACCACCAGCACCACCACCACCACCACCACACCACCACCACCACCACCACCACCACCTCCACCTCCACCAGACACACAGCTGGCAGCAGCAGCACCTCCACCACCACCAGACACACAGCTGGCAGCAGCAGCAGCACCACCACCACCACCACCACCACACGCTGGCAGCAGCACCACCACCACCAGACACACAGCTGCCAGCAGCAGCACCACCACCACCACCAGACACACAGCTGGCAGCAGCACCACCACCACCAGACACACAGCTGGCAGCAGCAGCAGCACAGGGTGACCACCACCACCACCACCTCCACCAGACACACAGCTGGCAGCAGCAGCACCACCACCACCACCACCAGACACACAGCTGGCAGCAGCACCACCACCACCACCACCACCAGACACACAGCTGGCAGCAGCAGCACCACCACCACCACCACCACCACCACCAGTCACACAGCTGGCAGCAGCACCAGCAGCAGCACCACCACCACCACCACCACCACCACCACCACCACCACCAGACACACAGCTGGCAGCAGCACCACCACCACCACCACCACCACCACCACCACCACCACCACCAGTCACACAGCTGGCAGCACCACCACCACCACCACCACCAGACACACAGCTGGCAGCAGCAGCACCACCACCACCACCACCACCACCACCACCACCAGACACACAGCTGGCAGCACCACCACCACCACCACCACCACCCACACAGCTGGCAGCAGCACCACCACCACCACCACCACCAGACACACAGCTGGCAGCAGCAGCACCACCACCACCACCAGACACACAGCTGGCAGCAGCAGCACCACCACCACCACCAGACACACAGCTGGCAGCAGCAGCACCACCACCACCACCAGACACACAGCTGGCAGCAGCAGCAGCACCACCACCACCACCACCACCACCAGTCACACAGCTGGCAGCAGCAGCACCACCACCACCACCACCAGACACACAGCTGGCAGCAGCAGCACCACCACCACCACCAGACACACAGCTGGCAGCAGCAGCACCACCACCACCACCACCAGTCACACAGCTGGCAGCAGCACCACCACCACCACCACCACCACCACCAGACACACAGCTGGCAGCAGCAGCACCACCACCACCACCACCACCAGACACACAGCTGGCAGCAGCAGCACCACCACCACCAGACAGCCAGCTGGCATCACCTTCACACACACAAGAGGCACCACTACCACCATCGGACGGACGAATGGCACCATTAGATGAACATGTGACAACACTGAACCTGTCGTCAAAAATAGCATTAGACATGCAACTAACGATGCCACCAGAAATAGACATACATCTGACAACACCACAACCATCAGAAAAGCAGCTGACAACACAAGTTTTGTTACCAGAAGAGCTGAAAACAGTATCGCCTCGTACAGAAATGGTTCCTCAATTTGAAATACAAATTTCTGCATCATCAGGTGCAAAACAGACTCGGAAAACTGCAGTGAATTTATTGCCAACTGACAATCAGAAAGAAACAGCAGAATGTGAAAATATAGAGAAGAATCACGAAGGCATTTCAGTCACGGCAAAAGCCGATGTGGGAGATTCAAGGTTTTGCAGCAACCCTTACCCTTGCTGTTACCAGTGTACATGTCTCTACAATTGCACTGGGCAGTTGTGCACTGTGCTGGGGAACCGGTACATATTAACGCAATTGCAAGGAGGTTTTGTGTTGGTGTACATCAAGGCACCAAAAGATGATGCATTTGCTTGTAGAGTACTTTGGAAAGGTGAGAAGCCTATTCCGCTAACAGAGGTTGCTGACAGCACTCGGGTTCAGTTTGATGCCGTCACCTTTCCTGACAATGAAAGTCTACAAGCATTGCTCATCTGGAAAGAGACAAAGCCCACTATCTGTACTGAACCTGATGGTTCTAATTCATATATGCTTATTGATGCACGAGGTATATTTTGTAACTTAGGTTCCCTAAATATAAATAAAGGAATCATCAATGTAAAATTTGATGATGATGAAGTCACTGCAGAAGTTTGTGATGATGTAATTTTTGTGGATGGGAAGAAGTCAAGCATGAGTCATCTGCATAAGTATGATATGCATACCAAAACATTGTATGCCACTGTGTTCAAATTATTTAAAGGCGATTTGGCTGGGAGTTTGAAGTATGTATGCACATGTCTCTGGATGGGACAGAAGCCGTCAACAGATATGTTACCCATGAATCTACTGCGTAGTAAAACGTACCTGAGAAAATCCCATGGCTTTTACACTGAAGCCAAGTATATGAATACACTCTATTGTGATAAAAATTCTACAATAAACATCTCAAATAACGTAAGTAAAATAACATTCAGAATTAATGGGAAAAAACTATCGCTGCCATTTTCAAAGGACCAATTCTACAATCAAATTAAAGGTCAGATGCCATCTTTAAGTGGCAATATTAATTTAAAAGCACATATATTAAAACAAGAGAATGAATGTCAAAACACCACATGGACCGTCTTGATGATTATCCCATCGTCGAAACCGAGGATATCAGGTTCAAGTAGTTCACGTGGTCAGACACAGACGAACACAGAAAATGGAGTTCGTGAAGTGGCAGTTGATCAAATTAATAACAATCTCACAGACATAGAGGGAGAGTGTAAGATAGGAACTGTTTCGACTCAAGAAACAGTTCTGAAAACAAATGACAGCAGCAGCCTTGGTGGTCAGGTAAGGCCACCGACCTGTAGCACCAGCATCCTCGGTGGTCAGGTGAGGCCACAGACCGGTAGCACTAGCAGTCTCGGTGGTCAGGTGAGGCCACCGACCGGTAGCACCAGCAGCCTCGGTGGTCAGGTGAGGCCACAGACCGGTAGCACCAGCAGCCTCGGTGGTCAGGTGAGGCCACAGACCGGTAGCACCAGCAGCCTCGGTGGTCAGGTGAGGCCACAGACCGGTAGCACCAGCAGCCTCGGTGGTCAGGTGAGGCCACAGACCGGTAGCACTAGCAGTCTCGGTGGTCAGGTGAGGCCACAGACCGGTAGCACCAGCAGCCTTGGTGGTCAGACGAGGCCACAGACCGGTAGCACCAGCAGCCTCGGTGGTCAGGTGAGGCCACAGACCGGTAGCACTAGCAGTCTCGGTGGTCAGGTGAGGCCACAGACCGGTAGCACTAGCAGCCTCGGTGGTCAGGTGAGGCCACAGACCGGTAGCACCAGCAGCCTCGGTGGTCAGGTGAGGCCACAGACTGGTAGCACTAGCAGCCTCACCAGTCAAAACAAATTACAAACGTCCATTAGGTTTAACAATGCCGGTGTACACCCCATGTTGAATTCTTTAACGTGTACAGTGGCTGAAGCTGAAAGAAATATGGCTATCTTAAGAGCAGCAGGTAAATTAATTTTTGTTACCAAGGAAAACATGTTCACAAACAAGAAGAAAGTTAATAAAACCCAAGATTTAAAAACTGAACTCAAGAAATTCCAAACTGTTGGGGCAATATTTTATGAGGTCAAAGAATCTTTTCTTGTCTGGGGTTATGTTGTAAAGCATGTGGCCATTTTGGCTTGGGCAGGCAAAAAACCTGCTGATTCAGATGACATAATCAGAAATTGGAAGCCCCCAAATCCTATACACAATCCTAATCATGATTCCATGTCTTCAAAAATGGAAGGACAAAATTCAACCAAAGATAAAATATTTGAGGCCAGCTGTAGCATTGCTGAAATTGTCCAGGACATGGGAATACTTGTGATACATAACAGAAATCTGAATGATGGTATTGGAGAGGCAGTAGCTAATCTCTCCAACTTCTATAAAGATGGGCTACCAGTTACAAAAAAACAGCTTAGACTTTTACCCTCAGATCAGTTGTGGCACTGTCTAGTTCAGCAGAGATCTCCACACAAATTAAAGAGTGGCCAACCTGAGTTTGTGGTAACTATAGCATGGCAAGGAAAGAAACCAAGTTCTTGCTCCTCCTCACAGATTAGAGAGACACAGCTTTGCTCCTCCAGCAACACACACAGCCTCAATAGTTGGGTGACTCCACAGACTAGTGGTCTCACTATCCCAGTAAGGCAACAGCCCAATACTACTGATAAATGCACCAGTCAAGAGACACTACAGAACTTTAATATTAACCCCTCTACTATTAAAGGGAGATCACAGACTAGCAATATCAACATTGTCTCTAATCAAACAAAGTCATCAAACAGAGACACTGAATGCTCTGGACAGACTGTCTCTAATCAAACAAAGTCATCAAACAGAGACACTGAATGCTCTGGACAGACTGTGCCTAAGTTAGAATATGTAACATGTTCGCTGGTGGAAGTTCGGACAGAGGGAGCTGTCTTGAAAGCCGGTGTCAAATTTATACTGGTACTAAGGAAAGACCTCTTTATAAGTGAGGAGAAAGTTTCTAGTTCTGTAAATATTAAGCAAAAACTTAAACAGTTTCCAAATGTTGGTGCAATAATATATCAAGCCGAGACTTCCCTAGAGATATGGGGACATAGTGTAAAGCATGCAGCAGTTGTCGTATGGGCAGGTAAGAAACCTGTCGATGCAGACAACATTGTCAAGACTTGGAAATCTAAACCAGTTTTATTGTGGAAATCTAAAAACGAACCCTCACAAACACACTCACAAAATTTGCCACACAAATCCGAGATATTTCAGACCCCACACAAGTCCGAGATATTTCAGGCCAGTTGTAAAGTTGTTAACGTCGTGCAACAGACCGCAGTTCTTGAGGTGAATAGTAAACATCTGGTAAATGGCCCAGGAGAGGCAGTAGCCAATATCTCTAATATTTATGTGGATGGACTGCCAATTAGTAAGAGAGCACTTTTACGCTTACCAAAGCATACATTGTTGAACTGTCTTGTTAAGAAATGCCCTCCAGTAAACAGTGGGAAGTCTTCATTTTTAGCACTTTTAGTATGGCTAGGGAAAAAGCCATGTGAGAGTTCCTGTTCATCGTCCATTAGTAATGACAGCCTGAGCAATCAAGTGAGGCCACAGACCAGTAGCACCAGCAGCTTTATTGGTCCAGTGAGGCCACAGACCAGCAGCCTCAGTAACCTCAGTAGTCCAGCGAGACCACAGACCAGCAGCCTTAGTAGTCTAGTGAGGTTACAGATCAGCGGCCTTAGTAGTCCAGTGAGGCCACAGACCAGCAGCACTGGCAGCTTCAGTAGTCCAGCGAGACCACAGACCAGCAGCCTCAGTAGTCCAGTGAGACCACAGACCAGCAGCCTCAGTAGTCCAGTGAAGCCACAGACCAGCAGCCTCAGTAACCTCAGTAGTCCAGTGAGGCCACAGACCAGCAGCCTCAGTAGTCCAGTGAAGCCACAGACCAGCAGCCTCAGTAGTCCAGTGAGACCACAGACCAGCAGCCTCAGTAGTCCAGTGAAGCCACAGACCAGCAGCCTCAGTAGTCCAGTGAGACCACAGACCAGCAGCCTCAGTAGTCCAGTGAAGCCACAGACCAGCAGCCTCAGTAGTCTAGTGAGGCCACAGACCAGCAGCACTAGCAGCCTCAGTAGTCCAGCGAGACCACAGACCAGCAGCACCAGCAGTCTCGTTGAAGTACCTAAGGAACAGGTTAATAAAAAGAGGACAAGACGACGTAAGAAGAATAGAAAATTGGATGAAACAGTTACTATTGCTACTGAAGTTACTTCGCAGAGAGAATCAAAATCCATTTACAAGGTACGTTACATATTTTTCTAGGTACATGCATTATATTTCAATGTCTTGAAGAAATGCTCTATCACATTGAACTAGAGTACTAATGTATTTTCCATTTAAAGTTAATCAAAAAATTTATACTTTGCTTTATATTCATTGATAATGCTTCTTTTAGGGAAAAATAACAGATCTTCATCCAGTACTTGGCCAAATACAATCAGATGGGGGCACCCTATTCTTCTCCCGGGACCTTTGTTACCTGTATGGACTGCGTCTACACATGGTAGAGCTCTGGCATGTCCTCACTTTAGGTAATATACTGTCTGTATTTCTACAGGGATTCTCACATCAACACACACACACAGTAATTACAAATTCACTAAAAATGGAAAACAGTACAGTACATCAAAATTCTGGTGTGGCTGTGAACTGTTTCTAGTTAAATCCCAATGACACACACCAGTATATAACCACCAATAACAACCTCTCCCTCTCTTCCATTAATCACAGGAGTGCCACAAGACAGCATATTAGAACCTCTCCTATTTCTTGTATACATCAGTGATTTGTTCCAGCCAAACTAAACCAAACCATAGGAAAAACACACGCAAAGTTCAGGCTCCTGCACAACTGCTCAACCAACCAACAAGTCACCTGGGGCTGATTCAACACCGGTCGATGATGCCACTGCAAGCAGAGCAGAGCCACGGGAGATGCCGACTGGGAACCCCAAACCAGGCCCAGTGAGATCCAAACCTAGGATGGAACCAACTGAGACTTCCTCCAGTTCATCAGGAACCCAAACCTGGCCAGCTGATAAGCAAATAGGCTGGGGGCCCAAACCAGCAGTTGTAAAAGTAGGCCAAGACACAAACTGCTAAAAGATGTAGCAGTCACAACCACCCACACTAAGTTGGTTAAGATTCAAGGAGCCAGATTCAAGCCGAGGGGCAGAACCTTGGAAGTGGTAAATTTGATGCCTGACAACAAAGCCTTACCAGTCCCAGAAACTCTGACAAGTTGGGAGGTGCCAGAATGCATCCATAAGGTGTGAAGACATCCAGGAACCTGCCTGTAATACCAGGCAAACATGGGTCAAAAGGGTCATAAGGAAGATTGGCAGGGAATGAAGCTAATCAGCCCAAGAGGTCAAGAAGATACCATAGATCTGCCGAGTCCTGGTTGGGAACTGAGAACAACCGAAACACCCACAGAAGAGACAAGGTTAATTCGATCAGGGCCAAATCCAACCATGGCGACCTGAGAGGAGGACTCCTACCAAATGCCCCCAAACCTAACAGAGGGGAAGGGGTGGACCAACCCCACTGAAGGCCAAGGGAGACAACTCAGTAAGCCCACAAACTGCAAAAGGGCCAGGTAAAGTCTCATGAGCAGAGCCATGCTTCTGCAATGCATAATAGTGACAAGCAAAAAAAAAAACAGCTGAAGGAAGTGCAAGGGGCCTGATAATCTGACTCAGGAGCCTAGCATGACCTACAGTAGGTGAAGCCCCAACCCTATTGTATAGCCTCCGAACAGGGAAAAGGACAGAATCTAGCTGGAGCAATGCCTAAGAGACCGAAGTGCTGCCACAGTGGTCGAAATAACCCGAGAGATTGCCTTCCCAGAAAAAGAGGATGCGGACAAAAGAGCCCTTACCCTCCAAACACACACCGAAACTACGACGTTGGTACAACGTTCGAACAAGTTTTAACACCTGCTAACCAGTTATAACAACCAATATAGCGAGTTGTAACAACGTTCTAATACGTCATAAACACGTTAAGCCAAGATGTAACAACTTTATTACAAGTTGTAACAAGCGGAAAATAGAGACAGTCTCGGTTTGTGTTTCCAGGGTAGACAGCTAGAGAAATAATCATACCTGCCTATGTGCAAAAAAATTTAAAATGAAAAAAAAATTCATTATAGAATTATAAATTTGTTTGCAAAATGTAAGAAATACGCAAAAATAAGTAAATATTTATCGTTTCACTGGATGGAGGCACTCTTGAAGGGGGTGTGGTGGGAGTGTGTGGTAGCTGGCAACACCCGGTGCCCGACTGCTGATGCTTCTTGTGTTGTCCTCCGATGTTTCACTGATTTTTATCACTTGTTTCTCATTATGTACAAGAGTATGTGTGTGTGTTGAATAACTTGATAAATCACATGTCACGTAACACAATTGTTTCAATAACACATGTTTCAGTTGATGATTGGTTTACCTGGCATACTCTATTACAACTATAAAGAGTAGTGAAAAGAATATGAATATAATATATAATAAGGTTGGGCTTTGGGTGTTGACATATGACTTAATTGGTACCATATGGATGAGAGTATAGATTGACGGAAAGGCGTAAGCCACCAGTGTGGCACACACACGACGGCAGGCTCTTCCTAGTACATGTAACCATGAAATGGTAGCTGGATTTTTTAATGGGTCACGGTAAACTCCATTACATCCACAGAGAGCTATTATATCCATATTTGCATCATACCTGTGAAACCCAGACAATAATTGTTCAAATCGTTGTATGACGATGACTGCATTCCCCTAGTAATATTCATGACAATAACTACACAAGAAGCAGTAAAGGAAATCAAACACTGCAGCAACCAAGATAAAACAAACATTAGGCTGGAAGTGAGAAAAGAATTGGCATCTAAGCCGAAGTTGGTGCAAAACACAGTTGACCGGAGTAAGTCCCTGATCATTTTTGGCTGCAAAGAAAAGGCGATAACATCTAGGTCAGAAAGAGCTGTAGAAGCAGCTAAAGTAGTAGATAAAATTGTTGGCCTCGTGGAAAGTCTTACAACCATAGAGAATGTGTGCGACTACAGGAGAATAGGCAGGTACGTAAAAGGGAAAGATTGACCTTTGAGGATCACCCTAAACGGTGCCAAACAGATGGAAGAAGTACTAAGGAATGCTAGAAAATTGCAAAGTGATGAGCAAACCAGTAAAGTGGTACATAAAGGCAAACCAACCACAATCAATAGAGAGAGGGGGAGTGAAGAATAAGGAGAGGGGGAACAAGTTCCTGAAGATTGCATACACCAACATAGATGGAGTGAGATCGAAGATACTGGAGTTAAGTGATGTAATGCAGCTGCAGACACCAGACATTGTTGCACTCACAGAGACAAAACTTGAAGATGTAATTTTAAATGAGGTCATATTCCCAAGGGCCTATTCAATTTGGAGACGGGACAGAAAAATTAGGAAAGGCGGTGGCGTTGCTGTGCTGGTAAAAGAACACCTATAGGTGAACGAAATAATGACTGCCAATCCACAAGAAGTTGACATAATAGCACTAGAGATCTGCCATGAGGATGATAAACTAATGATAATAAATGCATATAGTCCACCGCCAAGCAGCACATGGTCAAAGGAGGAGCTAGATAGTAAACGTGAAGGTCTTATAACAATAATGAGAGAGATTATAGCGAGAGCGGATAACGATAGATCACGACTGTTGATAGTCGGTGACTTCAACTTGAAATCCATAGACTGGGAAGCATATGAAGCTAAAACAGAAGATTTTTGGACCTGTAAATTTGTAGACCTCATCCTGGAAACATTCTTGTATCAACATGTTAAACAAGCTACTAGGATGAGGGAAGGGGACGTTCCCTCCATGCTAGATTTGATATTTACCAGGAAGGAGGAAGAGATATTTGACATTCAGTACCTTCCTCCCTTGGGTAAAAGTGACCATGTCTTTTTGGGAATAAAGTATGCAATGCGTTATAAGCTGGAAGAAAATAAGGAGGTTGAAGCAGTTGAAAAACCAGACTTCAGGAGAGGACATTATGGTGACCTTAGAAATTTTTTTAGTGAGTATAATTGGACAGACTTGATGCTAGGCAAGGAAGTGAATGAGATGTATGTCAAGTTTTGTGAAATATATGATAAAGGCACAAAAAAATTTATACCAAAACAGAGATGCAGAACTAGGAAACAGGATTGGTTCAATAGAAATTGCGAGAGGGCTAGAGACCAAAAGACACAAAAATGGAATCAATACAGGAAGAGGCCGAACCCCCAAACATACCAGCGATACAAAGATGCGAGAAACAACTACACGGCAGTGAGGAGAGAGGCAGAAAGAAATTTTGAAAAAGGGATTGCAGACAAATGTAAAACAGAACCAGGTCTAAATTCATAAACAACAAATTGCAGGTAAAGGATAATATTCAGAGGTTGAAAATGGGAAATAGATTCACGGAAAATGAAAAGGAAATGTGTGAAACACTAAACGAAAAGTTCCAAAGTGTGTTTGTACAAAATGAAATCTTTAGGGAACCAGATACAATAAGAATTCCAGAGAACAACATAGAGCACATAGAGGTGTCTAGAGACGAAGTGGAAAAAATGCTCAAGGAGCTCAGTAAGAACAAAGCAGCTGGCCCAGATGGCGTTTCACCATGGGTTCTGAGAGAATGTGCATCTGAGCTCAGCATTCCACTTCACCTGATCTTTCAGGCATCCCTGTGTACAGGAATCGTAGCAGACGTGTGGAAACAGGCTAACATAGTTCCAATCTACAAAAGTGGCAGCAGGGAAGACCCCCTCAATTATAGACCTGTATCATTGACAAGTGTAATAGTGAAAGTATTGGAAAAACTAATCAAAACTAAATGGGTAGAACACCTAGAGAGAAATGATATAATATCAGACAGACAGTATGGTTTTCGATCTGGAAGATCCTGTGTATCGAATTTACTCAGTTTCTATGATCGAGCCACAGAGATATTACAGGAAAGAGATGGTTGGGTTGACTGCATCTATCTGGACCTAAAAAAGGCTTTCGACAGAGTTCCACATAAGAGGTTGTTCTGGAAACTGCAAAATATTGGAGGGGTGACAGGTAAGCTTCTATCATGGATGAAAAATTTTCTGACTGATAGAAAAATGAGGGCAGTAGTCAGAGGCAATGTATCGGAATGGAGAAATGTCACAAGTGGAGTACCACAGGGTTCAGTTCTTGCACCAGTGATGTTTATTGTGTACATAAATGATCTACCAGTTGGTATACAGAATTATATGAACATGTTTGCTGATGATGCTAAGATAATAGGAAGGATAAGAAATTTAGATGATTGTCATGCCCTTCAAGAAGACCTGGACAAAATAAGTAGATGGAGCACCACATGGCAAATGGAATTTAATGTTAATAAATGTCATGTTATGGAATGTGGAATAGGAGAACATAGACCCCACACAACCTATATATTATGTGAGAAATCTTTAAAGAATTCTGATAAAGAAAGAGATCTAGGGGTGGTTCTAGATAGAAAACTATAAAGAATATTGTGCAAGGAGCCTATGCTATGCTTTCTAACTTCAGAATTGCATTTAAATACATGGATGGCGATATACTAAAGAAATTGTTCATGACTTTTGTTAGGCCAAAGCTAGAATATGCAGCTGTTGTGTGGTGCCCATATCTTAAGAAGCACATCAACAAACTGGAAAAGATGCAAAGACATGCTACTAAGTGGCTCCCAGAATTGAAGGGTAAGAGCTACAAGGAGAGGTTAGAAGCATTAAACATGCCAAAACTAGAAGACAGAAGAAAAAGAGGTGATATGATCACTACATACAAAATAGTAACAGGAATTGATAAAATCGACAGGGAAGATTTCCTGAGACCTGGCACTTCAAGAACAAGAGGTCATAGATTTAAACTAGCTAAACACAGATGCCGAAGAAATATAAGAAAATTCACCTTCGCAAATAGAGTAGTAGACGGTTGGAACAAGTTAAGTGAGAAGGTGGTGGAGGCCAAGACCGTCAGTAGTTTCAAAGCATTATATGACAAAGAGTGCTGGGAAGACGGGACACCACGAGCGTAGCTCTCATCCTGTAACTACACTTAGGTAATTACAAGCCCACAAAGCAACAGGTGCCAGGTGAGCTTTTTGTCATCAGTTAGGTTTAGGTAAATGGAGACATCCGGAAACACGACAATTCCAAGATACCGAACGGAACCAAGAACTGAACCTGAGGGGGGGTGACCAACTGTGCTGTCCAACTCATACATGGAGGGTATATATATCAAAATTACCCCTTAGCAGCAAAAAAGACCCTCCACAGAGGGAACCAAAATCCACAAAGGGCTGAAAGAGACTCACAGGTATGTGCTCCTTAGACTTCCCCTCAACCCTCAAAGCCTGCCATGAAGGCTTTGGGGCAGAGCCAAAGTTCTTGCTCAACATCTGGTAGGGAAAAGAGGGGGTAAAGGCGAATATCCTCAAAACACCAGTGGGATCGGAGGACTCAACTGCCTCTCCTACCAACGTAGATGGGACCACCCCCCAGAGAAGACCAAGCTAAATCCTGACCCGATTCCAAAGTCCTCAGATGCTAAGGAGCCAGAACCGAGGAGGGGGATGAACTTCCCTCCTCGGAGGGAGGTTCTTCCTCTCTATGAATTATTCTATCTGAAAAATATCAGAAGCAGGGTGAACCACACCTGCAGGGAAAGAAAGAGGAACAGTGAATATAGTCTGGTTGGAAGTCACCAACACCTCTAATTCCAGGTCCCTAAAACACCATACGGGCTAACTCTAGGGCATCCAACCAGTCAATATGCTGCAAATGCCTAACTTGAGAAAACCTCATTTGTAAAACAGCTGCTGCCTGAAAAGTCTCCAATTAGGAAGCGGAATCTGTAAATGCAGAAATAAACTTCACAGGACTCAAGGTCATAAGTTTCACTGACTCGACAGGCAGCATGGCAAGGACAAAAAGAAGTATCATTATCTAGTAGCACAAATAAAGGGCACTCTTTAAATTCACATTCAGTGAAGACAGGATCAATGGGCGAATCCATAACAGACCATGCCAGAGACCTGCAAGGGATTACCAGGGCCTGAAGGCAGTGTTTTCAGGCCACCAGGGCATTTGTTTTTTTGGACCTTGTAGGGTTGCTGCCAGCTTCTTTTTTGGCTGGAAATAAGTCAATTCACTTCAGGTGGAGCCCTCTGGTATATTAAGTGCATATCTACTGCATTATTCCTTGAAATGATCCTCAAATTGTTTCAGTGAACCAATGTATAACCCTGAAATTCTATCCAAATGTACCTAGTAATCCTTGTTCATAATAGAGTATTGTTATTATTGTGTATTTTCTAATCTTTGTTTTTGTGTCAAAATTTCTTACAATGTACCTGTAAATTTTCTTTTAGAATTTTACTGTAATTTCTCTACTTAAAATTATCTGTACCTTTATAGTAAAGCTGTAAAGTACCTGTAAAAATTTTTTTTCAGTTTTAATATAAATTATCTACTTAAAATTATCTGTTAGTTTAACCACTTAACTGCGCCAACCGAGTATTCTTGGTCGGCGGGAAACTGCGCCAACTGAGAAAACTCTCTTTGATTTTTTGGTACCCATTCTAAATGTATTCGAGGTTGGTTGTGTATGAAATGGACTCTTAGGACCTCCAGTGAAAGGCAGCCATCTTGGAAAAAATTCCCAGAATGCCCTAGGGCTGCTGGCTGGGTTAGTTCTGAGTGAGCAACCATGGGTGGCTCACGCGCCTCTGACTCCCAAACACCTGTCCGACGCGGTGTTGAAAGATTACTCTCTGTTGGTGAAATTCAAACCTTATTGTTTGAAGAACATAAGGGTCATAATATTGGTGAAGCTAGGTGCAATAAGTACCTAACACAAAGGTCGGATGCAAGTGATACAGCCCCTATGAGGTCGATACAGCGAGCGTATCCAGTTGTAGCTCTGAGCGTCACCCTTGCAATCCTATGCTATATCTAATTTATTTAGATGATATATAGATGAATCGTTTTCTGCGTTCAGTGATGATGCATCTGATACAAGTAGCATAGATGAACAGTGTTAGCGGCTTCCATTGTGGTGTTTTCCATAGATATTTTCAAGAATGGCTGAATCTCTTCCTGACTGACAGACACTCTTTGAAGCAAGCTGAATCTCTTCCTGTGTGGGACCATACAAAGTGATCTTTTCAAGACTACCTTACAAATTGATCTTTTCCTATAATCTTTTCAATACTATCTTATGCTTTACAAGCTTGGCTACATACAACCTACAAGTACTAAAGCCAAGGGTGTATGTGAGTGCGTTATTTGCAAGCACACAGAATGAAGAAACAGGAAGCGAAAATTTATCTGTACCTGGTGCAACGAGAGCGAAGTCGCGCTGTGCACCATGGACTACTTCGTTGATTATTACTCACTTCTGAAGTACTGAGTGTGTAATACAGTGTGTTACTGTGTAAATAGTGTGTGAAACTGTACATATTGTAATTTTAGTGAATTTTTAACAAGTAATATTGCGACAATAAACATTTATTGTGGACACATTACTGACACATGTATCACAGTTCCATGGAACATTATGAACGTTCTACTGTATACATATTGTAAAGGACACAAATATGCATCATATACGATAAAAAAAACAAATAAAACCGCATTGAAAATACATAGAACAAATAATTGAAAATATATTTGTGGCAACATCTGGTGCTTGAATGGCCCGTGCGACAGTATCTGGGTGATTCATGCACGGGCGACCAGGCCCTGATGACGTCACAGCGCACCTTGTCCATGTCCCCCACAGCCAAAGTAAGTGGAATTTGGTATTTATTTTTACATAGACATGTTCAAGGAAGGGAATTTATCATTTTACGAAGAAAAGATAATTTTTTGGGAACACTTTATTTCATGCGCACGGGGGGAATTTCACAATAAACTCGGTGCAGCACGGTGGTTAAGAATCAACATCATTTCTATGTTCTTTCTCTTGACCCCCAATGTACCTTCTTGTATATAAATAAATAAATTAGATGCCTCTCTTGTCTCCTTTCCAGAGAATACATTTTTTGAGCTTTGACACGATCCATATAGTTTAGGTGCTTTATCATTGTTATGCGTGCTGTATATGTTCTCTGTATTTGCTCTTATTTCAACATGTACTGTACTACTAACTCACACAGTATCTTGTACTACCCCACTCACCCAGTATATTACAATATAGAAATGGAACGTCAATAATATAATTTATTTTATCACTTTATGCTATGTTAGTATGGAATTCAGATTCTGTTACAATGTACGAATCATTGCATTTATTTGTTAGCTTAAGGACATGCCAGAAACACTATGCATGTTGCAATAGTACCTTTGCAAGAATATATGACTTAAGCACTAGTGTATGTACTCTCACAATCCATTGTTCCTTCTTGTATGTAAATAAATACATCAAGGCAAATGGGGGGGGGGGGACCTTCGACAAGCCTCTGGCTTCCTGTCCACGTCGAGGCCACTAGGGTTAGTGACCCTCGGGTAAATGAGGTAAATAAATATATTTATATAAAGATTGTCATGAATGCTAGATACAATTTTAATGGAGGCTCTATGCTTGCTTGTATTCAGTTCGTGGAATTAATGTACGAGTGTGGACTTAATAATGGTGATGGATTATGCAAAGGCAGATAAATATAATTTCTTTTAGATTAATGTTTAATCTAAATTGTTTTTAATATAATATTACTCACTACTTATTTGTCTTATTCATTTGTATTAAAGCCTTATTTCAATTTGCTTTGAGATAATAAAGAATTACATCAGAATAAATAATTAATAAAGTTTTTTACATGTTTGTGTAGGAGAGGAAGTAGAATACGAGTTGGCTGCTGTCGGGACAAATTCATCGGGAGTGTCACGTGTGTGGGTAGGAGGAAGGGACCAGCTGCCACCAGCTGCCCTCATCCCAATGGTGCACTCGTGGTGTAATAGACACAGTGTTCCTCCTGCTGCTGCCCAAATCCTGGTATGTAGCTTTTCATTTAAAATTGTAGTTCTTTGAAGCCATTACAGTGGATGCCTTTCAGTCTAGATCTTGGTAGACAAATTTCCAGATACAATGGAGAAAATCCAGTTTTTAATGGTTGCATGTTGTTATGGATTGGATAACAATAGCAGTAAGTGACTCCCTTTAACCCTTAAATGGCTCAAATTGTGTGTATGTATGTATGTATGTATGTATGTATGTATGTATGTATGTATGTATGTATGTATGTATGTATATATATATATATATATATATATATATATATATATATATATATATATATATATATATATATATATATATATATATATATATATATAAATAATATATATATATATATATATATATATATATATATATATATATATATATATATATATATATATATATATATATATATATATATATATATATATATATATAATTTGAGTAAATGTTGCTGAATGGTGCACATCGTATATATACAATTAGAGTGCTGCACACAATTTAAATATCCCACGGCTACACGGGGTTCACATCAGCTTCCTTAGGGCTCTAGTAAACAGGTGCCATTTTTAAACAAAATCGTGGGTAACATTTCCGGGTGTGAGAGTCTCAGTACTGAGTGAGCAACCAAGGCTGGTGGATGTAGCATGAGCTAACAGCACTGCTGTTTAGCTTGTGACCACAGCATCGCCTAAAAAATGGCAAAATATATATATGTAACTGTTATTATTTAGCAATTATAGTATTACAGAAGACCCCTGTCTGTGATAAAAATTACCATGATTCTGATAATAGCAGGATTGCGGTGATAATTAGCGATGTGCATAGTATGGTAGGAGGAGTAATCTTAGTGGTGGAGGGAGGTAGCGTCTCCTGCTGACTCTATGTGGCAACTTGTTATTGTCTGGACTCACCATACCGCTATGGTGAACACAAATGTAGATACTTATATATAACGTGTGTATATAGTGTAATAACGGCAAAAGGAGTATGTTGGGGGGAGCTATTTTGGTGAGGGAGGTGGTGTCGTCTGCTGGTTGGTGTGTCGTTCTGTGTAGGGTGGCCACTATGCGGTTAGGACACCATGCCAGCTTAGTTGTACAGTTAGGGTGAATAATACATGTAGATACTTATATATAAAGTGTGTATATGGTGTAATAACAGCACAAAGGGTATGGTGAGGGAGGGAGCATCAGCTGACTGTGTGGCAACATATGTTATTGTCTGGACTCATCATACCAGCTTTGTGGTTCGCTATGGTGAACACAAATGTAGCTACTTCTATATAATGTGTGTGTGTATATAGTGTAATAACAGCAAAAGGAGTATATTGGGAGGAGCCATTTTGGTGAGGTAGGTGGTATCGTCTGCTGGCTGCTGTGTCACTTGTCATGCAACTTTTTGTACCCACTGTGTTGTTTGGACACCATACCAGCTTAGTTGTACAGTTATGGTGAACAAAACATGTAGATACTTATAACATGTGTATATAGTGTAGTCATAGCAGAAACAGTATGGTGGGAGGAGGAATATTGCCGAGGGAGGGAGGGAGTGAGGTGGTGTCTGCTGGATGTTGTGTGGCGGCCACTCTTGTTGTTTGAACTCTCCATACCAGGTTAGTGGTTCATTATGGTGAATATTTTGGTCCATCCTTGACCTATTCCCCTAATTAAAGCACAGCAAGTGCACAATCTGAGTGTAGCTGGAGAGAAGAGGCCAGAGAAACAAAGAAGTGCTGAAGCATTATCCAGACTGCCACGTTCTCCCAAACATTGATGTGAGCACACGTCAATACCGGAGATCAAGCCGCTTGCGATATGCAGTTTTATAATTAATGAATTCTCCAGCAAGGAATTTATCATTAGACTTGTTTCATTTGTTGTTGATAAAGATGAATGAAGGGATTGATATTACTTATGCTGGTTGTTAGGTTTATTCAGTGAGTCCTTAACCCCTGCACTGCTCACCCATTTTCGGCAAAAATGTCTTGGTGCAATTCTCAAGGATATATTTCTGTTATTTTTATAATTGTTCAGGTAAAGTTAATGTCAAAATGTTTCCAAAGTCAACTATTTCCATTTCAAAACAGAAAGAGTAATGAAAACATTTAAAAATATTAAAATATAGCCTAATTAAAAAACAAAAAGCACAAATCTCAGAGCGCCTAAAGGTGCTTTGCGCAGTGCAGTGGTTAAGCCTTAGTGATAGTGTAGACTTGTAATAAGACCTCGTTCTGTTATGTGAAATCCGCTTGTCTGAATACTGGGAGTTGTCTTGCTGTCCAAGGCACATTTTGCCCAGTGTAGGAGACATGAATAATCTGTGCTCTACTCTCCTATTTGATTTCCTGAAGTTTCTCAACCCATGTGTTATAGGTGGAGTGGATGGTGGGTATCCATCTGCTTATCCACCCAGTACTGTATTTCCTCTTGCGATGGTACAAGCCAGAGCATGGTGCAGCACACAGTGCCACACCACACCACTTATACCTGGTGTCCTTCCTTTTACCAGACTTGTTGCAGACACAACACTTCAGACCTTTCTCGATGCAAATTAGGGAATGGTTCAAGTTTCTATTCAGTCATTCTGGTTTATCCACAATATGAGGTCTTCTACCAGCAGCACCACAAGGAGTAATCTGAACCTCGTCTTCTGGGTCAGATAATGATTCTTCATTTCGAGGTGAAGAAGGGAAGAGTGGCCGCCTCATACCTGATAGTCTGGAGGCTGCAGTATTATCATCAGTAGATCTGCTCTCGTCGTCATGTACATCACTAGCATGTATGATGTTGTCATTTTGGACAGGCCAAATCTTATACTCAAAGTTCAACAGTGACCAAATTATTACTTCGTGGAACTGGAGCAATGAGAGTTTTTGTATCATTTGTGTAGTACTTGTGTAACACAAAGGCATTATGGATAGCCATGGCATTACACATTATGGCATCACAGAAAATGGGAAGACGTTGGCGGACATTTTAAAACAAGTCCCATAATGATCAGAAAAAATTGATTTTTAATGAATATTTTAATTTTGGACGCGGTGTGCAGCCTCACCCAGACTGAGTATATTCATATGCTGACACAATATGAGTTAATGGCCAGGCAAAGTGTTAAGTTAATGATACGGGTTTATAATTTTGAGGTTCCTCTCGACTACAATTTGTATAGGTTGGTACTATGTTTGCCATTTTCCATATATCTGCTAAAATTCCTGTGCACAAGGATGTTTGGAATATTAATTGGAGTGGAGTGCTCAGCTCAGTTGCACATTCTTGCAGCACCCAAGGTGAGACCCAATCAGGTTTGAGCATAACAATGTAATTACCTAAGTGTAGTTACAGGATGAGAGCTACGCTCGTGGTGTCCCGTCTTCCCAGCACTCTTTGTCATATAATGCTTTGAAACTACTGAAGGACTTGGCCTCCACCACCACCTCACCTAACTTGTTCCAACCGTCTACCACTCATACAACATGTGTCTGGTGTCTGTAGGCATCTATGACCTGCTGAGTCACAGATGTCACAGTCACTTCAAATCAACAATGCTAAACTAGTGGACATGAACATTGCTGCTAAAACACGACTAACTTAAAACTGTGTGTCTCGTGTACACTTCATGGCAACTACATTATGAATTTTCATTGCAACTGAAGGTAAATTACTTATCAAAATGTCATTAAGCATAGCTTTAGAAAACAATCATTAATTTTATTTAGCTCAGAGAATTAAAGATCGCTGATGTAAATGATTCGGCAATGTAATGGAAGTGAAAACACTATACAAGTGTCCAAAAAGTATGTGAATATGTATTCACTGCTCTGCACAAAACAAAAGTCTAATAAGCATAAACTTGGTGATTGATCTCGACATGAATTTAATGTCTTGACTGCACGGAAGTGCTACTGATTACCGAGTTAGGTATTGCAGAAATATACATTACATACTGTACTTTGTTCATATCTGTTCTCAGCTGACAGCGTTATTGGATTACCAAGCTTAGATAGTACTAGTGTTGTTGACATAGATAAAAAGATTTGTTTAGTACAGGATATTAAGTTATTTCCTTCTTTTCCTTTTTTCCATATTTTGTTTCTCTTACAGCTTCAACAAGCAGAATCACTATCTCCGAGTTTGTTCCCAATGGTTGGAGATGATGAAGGTATGGAGACGGTGGAGATACAACAAGATTCAAGCTAACAGAAGGGTGAGTTGATTGTAATATTACATAGGCTACTATGCATGCCAGCTTGAGGTTGCAAGATACATGGTTGGAAGCATCAGAGCTTGCTGAAAGTCATTGTATAAAATCCCAGAATATGCAGGCAGCATGGTAGGCATCTCAGAGTATATTGACATCTGCAGTAACTGACATCCTAACTATCACACGGGATTACCACAACAACAACAACAACAGCACCATACAATGGGTTTCCTGGTTCTGCTTTGACACTGTGCGGATGCCTGACTTCGGCTCCGACTAGGGGTCACCGGTTAACATTTTGCTTTTTCTGCCCATAGGATTATGTTTTACCGTTAGGCACCTTCATTAAGCTCTGTGCTTATCAATCCAACCTGTCCACTTACAAATTATGTCATGTTTCACTTGTATTCGCACTCAGGCTAAAAATCAACATACAGTAATTCAGAATGAAATCGGCTCACAAAAGTGATGTACTGTCCCGTTTTCTATTTTGGGTCCTTTGGCTTAGGCTGTTAGGTTAGGAGAGAGAAACTGTGAATTTATTTATTTATTTATATACAAGAAGGTACATTGGGGGTTAGGAGAGTACATAGTACTGACGTTGATTTTACATTCTCGTAAGGCCACTAGCACGCATAGCGTTTTGGGCAAGTCCTTAATCTAACAGATAATTTTAAGGAGATAATTTACAGTAAAATTGACTAAAAAAAATTACAGGTACATTGTAAGAAATATTGACACAATAAACAAAGATTAGATTAACGGTTTTCATAACGTTTTGAAACCTTAGGAGAACTTCCTGCCCTCCTAACCTATCAGAGGACCCTTAACTTGCTGTTTTGAAAAACAAAAAAATCCAAAATTTAATTGGAAAATTAATTTCCATTTCAAATTACTGTACTGTACGTTGATATTTGGCCGTAGCACATACGATCGAAAAGCAACGTAATTTGTAAGAGGACGGGTTGATCAATCAATGACTACAGAGGAGTGAGAGAACACAACCAAAATAGATCGAGAATGGTTATCTTGAGGTTATCCTGAGATGATTTCGGGGCTTTAGTGTCCCCATGGCCCGGTCCTCGACCAGGCCTCCACCCCCAGGAAGCAGCCCGTGACAGCTGACTAACATCCAGGTACCTATTTTACTGCTAGGTAACAGAGGCATAGGGTGAAAGAAACTCTGCCCATTGTTTCTCGCCGGCGCCCGGGATCGAACCCGGGACCACAGGACCACAAGTCCAGCATGCTGTCCGCTCGGCCGACCGGCTCCCTTGATACATTGAATGATAGCTCATTCTTTTAACAGGACAGACAGAAAACATCATTACAGTAACACTTGCAGTAAAGATGACACAGCATAAGAATTTTTCACAAAGTATCTAGTACATTCAGCACATTCATCAGAACAAAAACTAGTAGCAGGAAGATCACCTTAAGGTGTGTATACAATAATACCTTGCAGTAATTGTCACTAAGTATACTGTATGTATGACAATATTCAGAACTGTGATGCAGAGTTTTATAAGCACAGCTATGTTTGTTATGATAGCATTGGTACTTCTTGTCATACTAAAAAGCCAGAAGTAACACCTTGTAAACTTTTAGATGTTGACCATCCTTACTGAATTTCACAACAGCACTGTATATTCCTCGACATAACCACTCTAGGCTCGATTGCTGTATTTGGCGCTCCAATGTTCCTGGATGTGTTTAGTATATTTAGTTTTCCAACATGGACCAAATATTTTGAGATTACCATGATGACATAAAGCTATCTTGAAGTTCCAATGGCACTCCTTTGCTTAGGGGGACATGCTTACCTGGCTTCTCTTGTGGTAAGCGTACAAGTCCACTCTGTATAGTAGATTATTTTTGTACAACCTCACCCTCCCAACCTCAGTTATCATTGGAGATGTCAAATGTTCACACCAATGCCATACTTGTAGTAAGTAGGGCAATCCTGTTCAAGTGATTATTTTTTGTTCATCCCTTTTCTGTGGGGAGCCCCTCCAGCTCCTCCGGGGCTTACCGGGCTATGTACTCGCCTACTTATGCTCACGGGGGCTGAGTTTCGGCTCTTTTGATCTTGCCTCTCAACCGTCAATCAACAGGTGTACAGGTCCCTAAGCTTATTGGACTCTATCATATCTACACTTAAAACTGTGTATGGAGTCAGCCTCCACCACATCACTTCCTAATGCATTCCATTTACTCTATTAACTACTTTGACATTAAACAAATTCTTTCTAATGCCTTTATGGCTCATTTGGGCACTCAGTTTCCACCTGTGTCTCCTAGTGTGTGTGTGCCCCTCGTGTTAAATAAACTGTCTGTCTACCCTATCAATTCCTTTTGAGAATCTTGTGTGTGGTGATCTTGAAGCCCCCAACCCTCCTGTCTTCCAGCGATGTGAGGTTTAATTTCCTTAGTCTCTCTTCATGTAAGTATGTATTAGACCATGGCATCAGTCGTTTGGAGTTCTTGCTTACTGGAACCACGAACCAGAATCCTGGCCCCTTGGAGAGGCACGAGGAGCAATGGCCGATAGAAACCCCCTGTGTGTTTGAAAGCATTCTGTGTCTGCCATCGACCGGGGTCTAATGCCCAGAATGGTAGGAGTAACAAAACAAATCCCACATGGTAAAAATTGCGACCTAAAACCGAACAGAGAGGCAGAACTTCCAAGCTAAAACAAGCAAACAAACAAACAAACATCAGTACTGCCGTCGCGCCGCTCAGCTGCACAGCCCCGTACCCCAGGAGGGGGAAAGACCTGGAAACCCACGACGGCCGCTCCAGCTTTCAGTTCCTTGGCTGATGTGGATTGTGGCGGTTGTTGACTCTCTGGCCTCTGGCTCTTGCAGTTCTGTGCATTGTGGTGTATTACTGTGGTGTGCAGACCAGGAGTCAGGAGGCATTTTTTTTGGCCCCAGTACTCACATCAGTACTGGGGCTGCATGCACTTAGGGCCACCTTCCTTAAGTGCCCCGAAAGTACTGCCCTTGCGTCTTGGGGTTATCTTCCAGCGTTTGGGAACCGCTTCTGTTGGGGGTCTTTTTCTGCTTAGCAACTGCCCGCCCTTTGGGCAAGCTGGGGTTTTCGTTGCCACTGTTGGGCCTTGGGTAGGAAGTGGTATCCTTGCTAGTAGGGGCGCAAGGTATTATACAGCTTGTTTCCCATTAATCACAGCAGCCAGTTCTATTCCTCCTAGGGACATTATGCTTTTGTAGTGTTTTCTTTTTCTTTTTTTGTTTGTTTTGCCTGGTGAGGGGTCTGCCCCATTGGTTATATCCACCCTCTGTTATATTGGTAGTCCTATGCTAGGCTCCCCATTCTTGTACATTTCATAGGGGTTTAGTTTACCATCAACACATTCAGAACACCGCGTAGCAGCTGCTTCGTATGGGCCAATAGCAGCTGCCTCGTATGGGCCAATAGCAGCTGCCTCGTATGGGCCAACAGCAGCTGCCGCGTATGGGTCAATAGCAGCTGCCGCGTATGGGCCAATAGCAGCTGCCTCGTATGGGCCAATAGCAGCTGCCCTGTATGAGCCAATAGCAGCTGCCCTGTATGGGCCAATAGCAGCTGCCGCGTATGGGCCAATAGCAGCTGCCGCATATGGGCCAATAGCAGCTGCCGCGTATGGGCCAATAGCAGCTGCCTCGTATGGGCCAACAGCAGCTGCCTCGTATGGGCCAATAGCAGCTGCCTCGTATGGGCCAATAACAGCTGCCTCGTATGGGCCAATAGCAGCTGCCTCGTATGGGCCAATAGCAGCTGCCTCGTATGGGCCAATAGCAGCTGCCTCGTATTGGCCATGAACACATTCAGAACACCTCGAGTGAGAGCAGCCACACCCAGCCTGTCTCCCTCACTCCAACATCTTACTCGCCAACATTGCTCCTCCCACCATATTGTTATAGTTCTTATTACACATGTTCTATATACCTATCTACATGTTTTATTTACCAGAACTATGCAAGTAAGCCGGTATTGTGTCCAAACAGTACAGTGGCCACCATACACTGCATGAAAAATTACACAGCAGATGACGCTACGATTACGTCACCTCCCTCACCAAAATAGCTCCTCTCAACATTCTCCTGTTGCTGTTCTTACACTATATACACACACTATATATACCCATGTACATATGTGTTGCCCATAGCGAACCACTAAGCTAGTATGGTGAGCAAAACAAGAGTGGCAGCCACACACACAATGAGGCTACCTCAATTCTCGCCCTCCCTCCCTCATCAAAATTCCTCCTTCCACAATACTACGCACAACGCTAATTATAACCACATTCCTGCTATTATCACAATCCTGGTCACTAATTCCTGTAAATGAATAATTGACCACACGTTTATTTTGAAAAGGAACCTAAGAAATCATTTGAAGATTCCTAGATGAACGAAATAATGCTGTGGTGCTGTGGCTAGCGCTGTGAACATCGTGAACAGCATTGAATCACTGATATTTGAACATTGTACCCAATCATTATCACACACAGGCTCTAATATAACACTATCATAGCTAAATAATACAAGTTATATATATATATTGACATTATTAGGCGATGCTGTGGTCACATGCTGAACAGCAGTGCTGTGCGCTCATGCTGCAAGCGCCAGCCTTGGTTGCTCATACACTACTGAGGCTCCCACACCCGGGAATGTGGACCACGATTTTTTTAAAGATGGCGTCTGTTTACAAGAGCCCTGAGGAAGCTGATGTGAACCCCCATGTAGCCGCGGGAGTTTTGAATGGAACGTGAAAAATACAAATACCCGGAGGCGCGTTGCGCAAACCAGACGTGAGCCTGCAGGCGCGTTGCGCAGTTTAAGGGTTAAACAAATTCTTTCTAATGCCTTTATGGCTCATTTGGGCACTCAGTTTCCACCTGTGTCTCCTAGTGTGTGTGTGCCCCTCGTGTTAAATAAACTGTCTGTCTACCCTATCAATTCCTTTTGAGAATCTTGTGTGTGGTGATCTTGAAG